CTTTCATAAAGAGGGCACCCAGATGCGCCCTCCCTTGTGAATGAGTAAGGGGTAGTTGTACCCCTACTCATTCACTAAAGACTAAAATAAAATGTAAATAAACGCACCTCACCTTAGAAAAAAATGATTTAATTGAACAAAAAACAAAACACGTTTTTTGGCAATTGCTGTATTGTAAAAAAAAGTTCAGAAAATGTGTCCAACAATGTAATTCAGTGTCAATTATTATTATTATTATTATACAGGGTTTATATGGCGCCAACAGTTTGTACAGCGCTGTACAGTATAAGGAAGACATTACAATCACAATACAATTCAAGACAAGATGGCAAGGAGGGCCCTGCGCCTGAGAGCTTACAATCTAAAAGGGAGGGGCCAGTGATACATGAGGAGGCATCTGTGTGGGGATGAATTGTTTGAGAACGTGATGGTTGAGTGGTCAGGTTGAGGTGGGATCGGCTTCCTTGAAGAGATGAGTCTTAATGGATCGCCTAAAAGCAGTCAGAGGGGGAGATAGATGGACAGGTTGGGGTAGAGAATTCCAGAGGATGGAAGAGACTCTAGTGAAGTCCTGGAGGCGAGCATGGGAGGAGTTGACGAGGGAGCTGGAAAGCAGGAGGTCATTTGAAGAGCGGAGGGGACAGTTAGGGTGATACCTTGAGACAAGGTTTGAGATATAGCCGTCAATCACAATGAACAATGCCCGCCGACTCGCCGAAAACAAAAAAAGTCCCGTTGTCCGCCAAAGGCGACCGTTCATGCCGAACTCTTGCAACAGATGACAGCTGCTCAAGTGTAAATAAATGGACGGGGCTTGTCTTGTGATGTCATGGTACTCACACCGCCCATTTGTTTTCATGCCATGACAGCTCACTGACCTGAAATGGCGTTTCAGGTTTGTAAAACGCAATTTCAGGCTTTGTTCCCCCTATTTTTTGGTGTTGGGGTCCCCATTAAAATTTCTACCAGACCCAATGGGTATGGTATGACTTTTGGGAGGAACCCCACAGACTGGTATGAATTGGGAGTGGACCCCACACTGTTTGTTTTTTTATTATTTTTACAATGACAATTTTCATTCTGGTCACTACCTCCGAGATAAATGCACATTTTTGTTTTTTTAAATATACCATGTTTTTTAGTTTCCTGATATGCCGGTCATATAATTGGGATTAGTTTACTGGATTTTTGTTTTATTTTTCTGTATTAATCAGAGTTCACACACATAATTAGTGGAATATCAATGGAATGCATTTACCTAAAGCTTTTATGGCAATGTAATATAATTGATAAACTTGTTACTTGTTACAATTTTTGTTTATATTTAGATACTAACATTGAGTTTAAATATTCAACAACTATTTGATTTTCCTTATTTGGCTTAATTGCCCAATTTAGATTCCCTTCAGAGTTGACATATATGATTATAATGAAGTGGTGTGTATATTTTACCATGAACCCAGAAGAGTCCGCTCAGTAACAGTCCCTTGGCGTCACCGCAGTGCACCAGAGTATGCCGGTCGTTATTGTAGAAAGAAAGTCACATTGTAATTATTTTGAGATCAATTAAATGGCAGCTGGTAACACTTCACGTAAATTAATCTCTCTGATCTGAAAATGAAGCTTTAGCTGGAAGAATTTAACCCATTTCAGCAATATATGGTTTATTATTTGGGGAAAAAAAGGATTGATGGAAAATAATGGATTTATGAAAGGAATAGTGACCGTCCACTTAGCTTAGTGTATATGGTAAAGCTGTGTTCAGTTTGCCTGCACGCGATTGGATGATTGAACTGAGCACAGCTTTGCCGTATTCACTAAGCCGAGTTAACAGCCTTTGCTCCCTTAGGCCCCTGTTACAGGGGCGGTCAGATCGGGTCCGACTGTCATTTATCAAGTGGACCCGATCAGATGCCCAATGTAAGTCTTTGGACAGCCATATGTAAATGGACGGGCTTCTGTTTACAACTGGTTACCCCCCACCTCCGGCCAGGTCTGGAAAAAAAAAAAGGATCAGATATACATTTCAATGGACGTGATCGTACTGGATCGGGGGTAATCTCATGCAAATGGACACATGTCCATTTAAATCAGAATCTCCATAGACAGACACGGGGTCTGGTAATTGCAGAATACCACAGTCACTATTAAGGTCATTTGTATATATGGTTTGAAAAATTTGTATCCAAAGACCCTAACAGGGTATTGTTTCAATGGATCTTGTTTGATGGGCACTAAAATTGGGAGGGTCATAAACACGCACATTATAACATTACAGGAGGACCTGGATAAACTAGCTGAGTGGTCAACTATATGGCAGATGAGGTTTAATGGTGATAAATGTAAAGTGATGCATTTTGGGGTTAAAAACAGACAAGCGGAATACACTTTAATGGGAACTCCACTAGGGAAATAGAAAAAGATTTTGGGGTCATAGTAGACCGCAGATTGAATAATAGCATGCCAGGCTGCGGTAAACAAAGCGAGCAGAGTTCTGTCTTGTATTATAAGGGGAATGTACGGCAGAGACAAATCTATAATTTTGCCACTTTACAGATCGCTGGTTCGGCCTCATCTGGAGTACGCGGTCCAGTTTTGGTTACCAAACCACAGAAAGGACGTCCTGGAGCTGGAGAGAGTCCAGAGAAGGGCAACAAAACGAATGAAGGGGCTGGAGGACGAAAGCTATGAGACAAGGTTACTAAATTTAAACATGTTCACGCTGGAAGTGAGGAAATTAGGAGGGGACATGATTCTGATGTACAAAATGTTTGGTGGTGATGGCAACATCCACAATAAATGTTTTACTCTAAACTTCCTAACACGGACTAGAGGCCCCCCACCTAAAATTGGTGGAGAAAATATTTAACCACAAGGGGTGTAGGGGATTCTTCTCAGTCAGAGCGTTTACATTTTGGAACTCTCTGCCACAAGCAGTGGTATCAGCTGAGAGTATTGAATCATTCAAAAAGCACTTAGATACCTTCCTCAGAGACCGCAACATACAGGGGTACAAGTACTCCTAAATACCAGACCTCACAGGGACTCGTATACACACATGCACAATCACACACAGGCACACAAAGGTTGAACTTGATGGACCTGTGTCTTCATTCAACCTCACATACTACGTAACCAGATCCTATAGGAAAATGTTACCTATTTTCACAGCTCTTCTGATCAAACCTTTTTTTTTTCCCATTCAAGATGAGTGTTCTGGTGTCTTATTTGGTAGCCTTGAAGTAAAAAGATTTCCACTCTCTTTATCCTTAATTATCTATAAGGCTGGGTTCACACTGTTGGCTCAAGCGTATTGAAGCACATTATGCCCCCCATTGCAATAAAGCAAGCCATTCATTTATATGGGCTGCCTAAGACACTGAATAAAATATAGGCTCATGCAGCATTTTCAGTAGCACAGAACACTGCGATGCATGCTACTAAGTTGCCGAGTTCTCTCCTGTACGGTCACCTGCATTGCGCTAAGGCCTTGTTCACACCAAGCGCGGAGCAGGTGCAGAGCAGAGCAGTTACAGACCGGAGCAAAACTGCGTCCAATGTATTCCAATGGTATTTTTAGCTCCAGTTCACATCGCAGCGTTCTGTTCCAGAGCAGGTAAAAAAAACTGCAGCAGGCCCTATTTTACCTGCTCTGGAACGCATGCAAACGCATAAAAAACGCATGCAAACACCCTGGAACGCACTGAAAGCCCATTTTAAACTAAAACATTTTTTTTTTACCAAAAACGGCCCGGAAAGCAGCAAAAAATGTGGCACAACCCACTGCACTGTGTGTGCAGAAACTCATGCAGATCTGCTCTGCATTTGGTGTGAACAAGGCCTAAGGCAGCCCGTCACTTTGCCTGAGCGTGCCCTAAGTGACTTATGAAAAGATACTTCTGTATCGTTCTAATATAGAGAAATAAGGGATCAGATTAGATTTTTTATTGTATGGGGGATGGTGACCTTTCCTACAACATCTTGTAACGCTGTTCTGAATTCCTGGTTCCTCAGACTGTAAATTAGAGGATTGATAAGAGGAAGAATCACGGCGTAAAACACGGACGCCATTTTGTCTCCAGCAGAATGGCGACTTCCAATGGGACGAAAATAGTTTAACACAATAGAACCATAAAATAGGAAGACCAATGTCAGGTGAGAGGAGCACGTAGAGAAAACTTTACTTCTTCTGCCCTTTGTTTGAATTTTCAGGACAGTTCTAAATATATAGACATAAGGCATGAAAGTCATTTTTACAGAAAGGACTCCCAGGAAGCCACCAAAAAGAAAGATGAGCAGAATGTTGATGTAGATGTCACTGCAGGAGATCCGGAACAACTGGGGAAGGTCACAGAAGAAACTTTCTATAATATCTGATGCACAAAATGTTAACTTAGAGACATAAAGTGTGTGAAATAAACAATTGATTAAACTGAGACACCACGCACTGAATACCAACTGTACACACACTGTCCAACGCATGATCTGCACGTAATGCAATGGCTTGCAAACGGCAGTAAATCGATCATAGGACATGACAGACAACAGAAGAGCCTCAGAAGTGACAAACAATATAAGGAAGGAGACTTGGGTTATACAAGCCATTGTGGTAATCTTTCTTCTCTGGGTGTGAAGGTCAAATAACATTCGTGGCACGGTGACTGAGGCATAACAGAGGTCCAAACCGGCCAGGTTCCCAAGGAAGAAATACATAGGGGTGTGGAGGTGAGAGTCACTGACTATGAGGGAGATGATCAGCAAATTCCAGATCAATGTCAGAAGGTAGATGAGAAGGAAGAGGAGGAAGAGAGGGAGCTGAAGAGCCGGAATATCGGACAGTCCAGAGAGGAAGAATTCATTCAGAATTGTTTGATTCACCATTGCAATATGTTTATCTTACTTCCCAGATAGCAAGCAATTGTGCTGCAAGTTTGAAAATGACTTCCTAAACTATTGCTAGACTTCCCAAGCTTCACAATTTTGTTGCACAATTACAGGAAGTCTCCAGTGCAGGTCTCCAGATCAATCTGCTGTACACTTGCAGAGCTCTTGCTAAGACCTGCAGGACTCTTGCTGTAGACTTGCCGAGCAAATTTGCTACAAATTCAGAAAGTGTCGCCTAGAACTTGTGCTGCGAGTGTTCTGCGAGTCTACAACCTGCCGGGAATGTGCGCAGGAAGTTAGAAAGAGTTACAATTGAACCCTGCCACATGTTTGTAGCAAGTTATCCTCGCTATCTGGGTTGGTGGTGACACCTAAATAAAGCACAATTCACTCTTACTTCATGCTCATGGGGAGACTTGGCTTATTACAATCTTCACCACAGAATACAGAGATTCTAAACAAACATTCCAAAACTAGACTTAGAATTAGGAACGGAATTCATGTTTAAATGATCAATATGAATTGTTAGAATTATCCACTAAAACCATCAGATTTTGGGCAAAACATCAATTACACTGGGAGTCATTGAACGTGTGCAATTCCATTCATCATCATCATCACAGAAACAGAGAAAAATAAGTTATTCCTACAGCATCAGAAAAAAGATTTTGACTTTGTCAAGCTATACACAGTGTAGCTTTGAGACACATCTAAATTTGTTCAACCCCCGAGGACAGGAATAGCCAGCTCCATCCCCAGCAACATGTTCATCAACCAAGAGTACCATCTACACATAGCTGATGATCAAACTCACAGGAGTTCATTTACTGAAGGCACGTAGGATGTTCACTCTGCAAGGGAATTTGCACTTAGCGGGGGAAGTTTCCCTCCTAGTTTAGTGAATGAGGGGAACCTCTGCTGACTTCCATAACCCAATCATATTCCAGAATCTTTTTCTTATTTTCATTGCACGTGATTGGGTCATTTTTACAAAGTGAAGTTTCCCCACATTCGGGAATAGTCATTTCATAGATGAATATATTTGTGTTTCCATCGATCAAAGACACAGATGAGCCTAACAAATGTTTTCGAAGAGTGACAAGAGCGTTCTATTGATCATACTGGAGCTCATATAACATGTGACAGTTTACCTCCTCGCCACCTATAAAGATAAAAAACACATAATAACAAAAGTTTTGAAATAGGACAAAAGATATCGATGTTGCGATAGTTTTAAATCTAATGAAAGAGCTTCCCTATAAGAAAAGATGCATGCTGAGATAAATACAAAACATAATAAAATTACTTGGTATGAGCTTGGTTGTATAAATGAAGCACAGGCTGAGAACTACCATATCTGTAAAACAAACACATTGAAATAATGACAAGAAATAAATACCAGACTGGTGAAATGTTAAATTTTCTGTGTTGCAGCCTCTAAACAGGTTTGTCTGACTCCCTCGGCAGAGGTAAATGCTGATGGGAGAGGAGTGGGGGGGGAGGGGAGTCTCCTCTGGATGGGTCAGTTCACTGGCAGCAGGTCTGATGTGGAGACATTTTGTTAAAGAAAAATTAAAGGGTGTCTACGGTCAAAAACTACAAATAAATACATGTTTCTATATAGATTTCCACAAGTTCTATCCTACTCCTAATATCTTAATAACCGTATCAGTCTAGAAGTTTGTAAACTTATGTATTGAAGTTGCCCATAGGATGAACTTGACAGACAACAGAAGAGCCACAGAAGTGACAAACAATATAAGGAAGGAGACTTGGGTTATACAAGCCATTGTGGTAATCTTTCTTCTCACGGTCTGAAGGTCAAATAACATTCGTGGGACGGTGACTGAGGCATAACAGAGGTCCAGACTGGCCAAGTTCCCAAGGAAGAAATACATAGGGGTGTGGAGGTGAGAGTCACTGACTATGAGGGAGATGATCAGCAAATTCCAGATTAATGTCAGAAGGTAGATGAGAAGGAAGAAGAGGAAGAGAGGGAGCTGAAGAGCCGTAAGATCAGACAGACCAGAGAGGAAGAATTCATTCAGAATTGACTTATTCACCATTGCAATATGTTTATCTTACTTCCCAGATAGCAAGCAATTGAGCCTCTAAACAGGTTTGTCTGACTCCCTCGGCAGAGGTAAATGCTGATGGGAGAGGAGTGGGGGGGGAGGGGAGTCTCCTCTGGATGGGTCAGTTCACTGGCAGCAGGTCTGATGTGGAGACATTTTGTTAAAGAAAAATTAAAGGGTGTCTACGGTCAAAAACTACAAATAAATACATATTTCTATATTGATTTCCACTAGTTCTATTCTACTCCTAATATCCTAATAACCGTATCAGTCTAGAAGTTTGTAAACGTATGTATTGAAGTTGCCCATAGGATGAACTTCCTCAATGCTCAGCCCTGTGAATGTGCACTTCCTTGCTCTCACAGAGCCTGCCTTCTGAACTACAACTCAACGTCTGAACATTGTAACATCATCATTGCTTGCTGGAAGCAATGCATGATGGGACATGTCGTTTTGGGAAACATCACATCAAGCAGCAGGAAAGGAGACACAAAGCACACTGGGAATCCCGGAAGTTGGTGAAAGGGATGGACAGACGGAAGGCAGCACTCACTACATAGAAGTTAGATTGTATTATCAGAAACAACTCTAGTATGTAAACCTATTACAATGCTGATGTCATAACAGGAGAGGATGTGTTGGGACTTTACAACTCCATTACCTGATATAACAAAAGAGCCATGTGACATTTTGTGTCACAATACAGTGTTATGAGCCGCACATAGATACATTTATAATGCAGAACTTTCCCCAGACACCTCCGGAGCACAGGGGAGGCTATGTTGTATCTCTACTCTTCTGAGATTAATCTAAAACAGCAACGTGAATCTCTACAAATAAACAAATCATTACATACATTAATTTATCCCACAAGGACACGCAACATGAGCCCTCGTAAATAAACAATAATACAATAATCATTTTTTTCTTTTGAAACATTTTCTTTTTTCATGTTTCATCTTAATGATACAAGTTTGAAATGGAAGCTTTTAAAATGCATCAGTGAATCAAATTTGTTGTTTCCAAACCATAAATCCCATTGAAGTGAATACAAATTCAAACAGGATTAAAAAAAGTGTGAATTACAGAGGAAAAAGGGTAGAAAATAGGCTTGTGCGCCGTCAAAAAATTTGTTCCGTTTCGTTTCGTTCCGGAATATCCGTTATTTTGTATTTTCGTTAGTTTCGGCACATTTTCGTAACTTAACGAACATTCATTATGATGAAGTTAAAAAGCAAAAATACCTTTGTTAATATCGGAGTCGATGTGGTAGTTTGTTTTTATTATCCGAAATACGAATTCCGTTAACGGATTCCGTATCCGAATTTGGTATTTCGGATAAAAAAAAACTACCATCAACTCCAATATAAATGTACTTTGCTTTTTAACTTCAATATAACGAATGTTCGTAACGGAACGAAAATACGTCAACGGAATTTCGTATTTCGGATATAATTCGGAAACTGCAATTCGGATTTCGGATGCTTCATACGAATTTCGATTCGTAACGAAACGAATGGCACATGTCTAATAGAAAATGGTGCAGAATGGTTTGGGAATCTCCTGGCTGCTCTCCTCCATGAAGGGCCAAAATGCAGCATGAGCCACTTCCTGTAAAACATTGTTACCGGTGATATTACAATAGAAGGGCGGGACCTGGTGGCACCGTCAGTCAAGTCTAGCACAATCAACCTCTAAAGAAGCCTTTGGTAGCTTTCCACCAAAAGATGTTTGGACATCTGTACCATAAAAAAAACAGAAATATGGATCTGAAATTGGAAAATTGTTATTTATTGGGGGGTGAAAAGTGCTTAAATCTCAAATCTGCCAAAGGGAAATATATTAGTTTCAAAGATTTGTTTTGTATAGTATAATATAGAGAGTGTATCCAATAGACATGTACATTCCTCCTCCCACACATTATATTACTTTTCCATTCATATGTCGATCAGAGATGTGGCCTTTGCACTGCGTGTGACACCAATTAAAAAACCTTTTAGCCCTTATTATCCCTGTGTGTGTTGTACATCACTCTGCTGTAGATCCTCTAATCATCTCTGCATTGGTGCTGACACTGTCCATCCTTCTGGAGGGGGGGCTACGTCTGTTCCCCATGGTCCCTGTGTGTGTTGTAAAGTAGTCACCGCTCCAAGCTCCGCCCCCGGTGTGAACTACAATCTCATGTTTAGTTTACGAATTTGTATTGGGATTGTAGTCCATCCCGTGAGTGAGTTTGGAGCGGTGACTACTTTACAACACACACAGGGACCATGGGACTATGCAATGTTCAAAAAGGGGCACGGGGAGCTGGACACACTGCCTTGGGGGACATCTACCAATGAAATAAATAAATAAATAAAATAAAGAAGGGAGAGGGTGCTTTTAATTCCAATTTGAGACATGAAAAATCATTTTAAGTACAAGCTTGGGAGATGCCTTTAACCCCTTCAAGACTGAGCTAGTTTTCAGTTTCTGTTCATAAATAGGGATGAGCCGAAACACCCCCGTGTTCTGTTCTAATTCGAACTTAGAACTCAATGCAAGTCTATGGGGGTAGAACTCAGAAAATTAAATGATACTGATCCTAACAGCATGTCAGAATCAGATCTCACTAAGGCTGGATTCACACCTGGGCGTAGCATAGGCTCGTTTTTTCTGCTCTTTTTTTCCCATTTTTTCCGCACATTTTTCCGTTCAGTGAGCGTTTCAATGGCAGTATGATTTTTTTTTTACATTTCCTTTATTTTCTCTATATTTAATTTTTATTATTTTAACTTTCAAACTTCTCGCCGGGTTCTGCCCCCCCTGCGACGTGGCCGCTCGCAAGGGACAGAACCCGGAAGTCGGCAGCCACTGGAGGGCACAGCGGGATCGCGGACAAGGTAAGTCCTACTCTGTATTCCCGAGTGTGGCTCAGGGTTA